CGCAAATGTGATCACTTATGAAGATGATCTCTTCTGAAGATAAGAGTACTGCTGGACAGAAGATTCTGCAGGATGGGAGTATCGCTGCAGAAATCGCAAATGATGTAGGACTTTGAATTAAGGGGAGATTTGTTGAGTGTTACTTCAAAGTCCCACATCGGTGGGATAGGAAAATTGAGGAGGGATTGGAGCCTATAAATAAAGAGGAGATATAGGCTTTCATCACACAACACAATCCTTCAATCTATATAATTGTGTATTAGATTTTAGGTTGTGAGTGTCAAATATTGGAGAGGGTTTGTAATTTTTCCGTGCAAAAATTACTAGTGAGATTTTATCCCAGAGGGGGTCGTGGAGTAGGTCTTGAGGTGCCGAACCACGTTAAAAATTTGTGTGCTCTCTTTTATTTTCTTTCCATTTATTTGCAGTGGGGGCCCAACACATGTTAATATTTTGGTCAGAAATTGGATGGGACTTAACACCAAATAATTACTTATTTTATGGTGTATATTTATCCGCTCCCATAAGCTGACTTTCGCATTTAATTTATCTTTGGAGGATCTAAAGTCTAGATTACTTCCTCATTGTGGGCATGTTTGGGAATAACGTTAGAGATTCGCCGCCAACGATATCAACCGGCTGCCGCCCCTTCCAGCATCAACGTGACGCAGTGTAGCCGTTCTGTCGGCGGGGTATCATAAAAAGAGAAATATTCTTGTACCTTGTAAAGCCAGCGGAGGGGATCCGACCCATCCGTTTTCGGGGCGTCGAGCTTTGGTTTCAGCAAACTGCCATGCAGACCCGCGGGACCTTCCCCCAGCAGATGGTTGCCGACGTTGCCAACAGGAGGTCGGCCGGTAGGGTGTGGCAGGAGTGGTGGCCTGTTCGCCAACACGAGAGCTTCCAATAGGACAAATTCGAATTCCACATCCTGCTGCATCTAATGCATGGTATGTTGTAAGTCGTCGATGCGATCATCCCACTGATCACGGTGGGGTGACGAATTCTCCTCACTCGACATGGAAACGAAAAATCAACAAGAGCACCAATTGTTACGACGGACTTGCCACGGAAGGATTCAAGGCTCCTTCACGCCTCACCTGCAAACAAACAAAGGGAGAAGAACGGCACAGCCGAGAGAGGAGAGGAAGGGAAGAGAGAGAAAGCTAGGGTTTAAAGAGAAGAAGAAACTTTGGGGTGGAAGAGTTGTATTATTTTCTGATGCCTAATGCCCTGGATACAACCTCCTTAAATAAAGTTTTCCCCAATCCTAATACTACGTTTTCTATCTTGTCAGTTCAAGAAAAGCATCGAGGTAAAGAATCGAAAAGAAACCCTCGAAGGGGCTTATAATTCCGCCCACCTAACAAAAATCTAAATTACATAATTAATAAATAATGATAATTAATAACCAATGCAATGATGATATCATTCGACGTAGTCCTCACGCCACGCCAGTGTCCTTCTTGTTTGTGTGCTACGCCGCGCCCCAATGCCCGGTTCCTCCCATGCAAGGACGTCATCCCCATGCAACACGTCCACCGGCGCTTCCACGGCCACTTCATGCTCGCCCTCGTCTACGGAGGCGTTGTTTATTACGTCCCGCTGATCACCTCCAACACCGGAATCATTCGTAACAAAGGCAATAATAAAAATTAGCATAAAAAATTAGATGAAAAAATTGCACACTATATAAAAAAAATTAGGCAGCAAAATATTTTTTTCAAATGACTCACAAAGGTGTTTATGTAGAAAATTCATATAATATACATGTAATAGTGTTTACAAATAATTGTCAAATATATTATTCTTGGGAAATGACAAAACAATGAGGATAAAAATATTACAAATAATATATTTTAATAAACAATGTAGTTAGAATTTAAAACATTGGGGTTTAGTGTTTTGAATCGAAGTATTTACGGGACAAATTGACATCTATATATCATTCATTATATTGATGAATTAGTGAATTAGAAAGTGACAATATAGATGGTCTAAAAACATAAAGTACAATGCCCACGATAATGGTAGACCACATAAAGATTAATATATTTTTATAAATTTTAAAATTTTAGAAATTGTTTTATAAAATTTTATCGCTTACTAAAAAGTTTTTATTTCCATAAAAATATGCTCGAGACGATATTTATAAGTTTGGGTGTATATTTTTCATATCCTTGAGTTAACCCAGATTTTACGCGTGTCTCCCAATATATATTTAGGGTATTGGTAATGATGCACAATTTTTGAAAAGGTGCACTAAAGGAGCACAGATAATGATGCACAGTGAATGGAAAGTAGCACATTAACCTGTAGAATCAAACCTAGAGATATTGCTCTAGACTCGTGGCTCTATAACACAACTTTTAAGGCAATTTAATAAATGGCTGCAACATAATTGAGTGGTTGTAGATAACATCTTTCAAGAAGTATTTAACATGTTCGTGACTCTAGAAACTACCTAAAATATTGCTTCATAGGTTCGTGGCTCTAGATATAACCTCTCAAAACATTGAAAGACAGAGGTACCTTACATCGAGCCTCCAAAAATTGTGCCTATCAAAAAGGTTTCGTATCTCTAGGTTCAGACATTTATTAACTATTGTTAGATTTGTGACTCTATAACACAACTTTTGAGGATATTCAATACAAAAACTTCGCCTATCAAAAAAGTTTCATATCTCTAAGTTTAGACATTTATTACTTCGTGACTTTATGACACAACTTTTAAGACAATTTAATACAAAAAATTTTCCTATCAAAAAAGTTTCTGTATCTCTAGGTTTAGACATTTATTACACTTTGTTGGTTCGTGGCTCTATAACACAACTTTTAAAGCAATAATTTAATACAAAAATTTCGCCTATCAAAAAAGTTTTGCATCTTTAGATTTAGACATTTATTACATATTGTTGGGTTCGTAGCTCTATAACACAACTTTTAAGACAATTTAATACAACAATTTCGCCTATCAAAATTTTTTTGTATCTCTAGGTTTAGACATTTATTATCTATTGTTGGGTTCATGGCTCTATAACACAACTTTTAAGGCAACTTAATACAAAAATTTTGCCTATAAAAAAGTTTCGTATCTCTAGGTTTAGACATTTATTACCTATTGTTGGGTTCGTGGCTCTATAACACAACTGTTAAGGTAATTCAATACAAAAACATTGTCTATCAAAAAAGTTTCGTATCTCTAGGTTTAGACATTTATTACCTATTGTTGGGTTCATGGCTCTATAACACAACCTTTAAGGCAATTCAATACAAAAATTTTGTCTATCAAAAAAGTTGTATCTCTAGGTTTAGACATTTATTACCTATTGTTAGGTTCGTGACTCTATAACACAACTTTTAAGGCAATTTAATACAAAAATTTCGCCTATAAAAAAAATTCGTATCTCTAGGTTTAAACATTTATCACCTATTGTTGGGTTTGTGGCTCTATAGCATAATTTTAAGGCAATTTAATACAAAATTTTTGCCTATCAAAAAAGTTTTGTATCTGTAGGTGTAGATATTTATTACCTATTGTTGGGTTTGTAGCTCTATAACACAACTTTTAAAGCAATTTAATTTGTTAAAATTTATTTGTAATAAGGTGATGTATGGATGTATTTGCTATTTTTTCATTAATAATTAATTTGTTGAGATATATTTGTTGGTACAATGAGATTATAAAACAATGTTTTATATTAAACCTTTAAAAAAATACAAATTTGAACTAAGTATTTAATGTTTTTGAAAATCTCATTTCTCACGGTTCAATAATCAAAACCACAATTATTTCCGACATAGAAACCTTATATCAATTATAATAATATAAGAAAATATCATATATTAAACCTTTAAAAAATGCAAATAACATATATAATAAAAAAGCACATTCTCCATCCCTGATTTGCCTCTCATTTCTCCACCTTGAATGGTTTGAACTTTTTTTTGGACTTGGTCGTTGAAGATTCATCAGTCAGTCTCCTCTTGATTGGATCATCTGGTTCAATATAATCAATATCTCCTTCGTGAACTTGTACAAACTGCTTTCACTCCCAAACATCTCGTTGTCATAAGGGTGTGTGTTACAGTGTAAAAAAATAATAATACGAATTAAACAGATCAATCGAAGCAAGTGTAATTTAATACAAAAGTTTGTGAAATTAATTTTGTTCGTTAATACAAACTACAAATAAGAAATGAAACCTCATTGTCATGAAAGACAACCTCCAAGGATTCTCCTATCATACCAAACGAAGCAACTTCATAGACGCGAATGGTTCGAACGTGGATGGAAAGAACAGTTTGGCCCCTCTCAATGTTTTCCAGCTTTGTCCACAAAGAATGAGAGAATCAGTTTGAAGCAATTTTTTCAAGATTGGGTGAGAAATTTTTTGGGACTAAAGCCCTGGTATTGAATGAGGGAGAAGCCCATGATTTTAATAAGAAAAGAAGCCACTAAGGTACCGAACAATTAATGCAAGAAATTACTTTTTCACTAACCAATGAAGTGAAATTTACTTTTTCAGATTAGACTTTTCGAATGTCATTAACCATCATTTCGTATTACCCATGTTACGCGATTACCCATGTCATTTCGGATTACCCATGCTACGCGATTACCCATGTCATTAACCATCATTTCGGACCCATCCATAGCCCACACATTTTGGCAGGAAAATGCACTATTCATTTTCTCACTTTAGCTTTGTATATTAGTAGATATATCAGACTCTAGACTCTTTTTTGTGTGGTAAATATTGTAAATTAACCACAAACAAATTAAAATAAGTATAAAAGATATAAAAACATACTCTGTAAAAAAACTAAACAGGTACCAATTCTAGTTCTGATACCAAAAATCAAGAACCAGAACCACCCATGGTTCTATGCGATTCCGATATCCTAGCAATTTTTGTACCGATTACAGTTCTAGAACCCTCGTTCCGGTTTCGGTACTGAACATTCATCCATATAAAATAAAATCATTTTTTTCTAAAAAATGATTTCCTTCCACTTATGTAATCAAATGTAGAAAATTAGATTTAGATTCTTTAAAAAATATTTTTCTCTCAACAAAAAAATTATAAAAGTGAGAATCTAAAAGAATAATGTCTTTCAAATATTGTAGAATATAACAAAATTTCATTCCACCCGTGCATGAGACGAGTTAAAATACTAGTTTTTAAATAATACGGAGTACACAAACCTCCACATTTTAGATAATACAAGAATTGGTATCTAGAAAGTCTTTGCGTGTGCTAATATTTATTGACTTATTAATGATAGATTGCTTATTGAAATATTTTGTAAGGTGACACAAACGAGATACGAGTCATTTTGACTTAAGTCATGAGTTGATATTAAAATTCAAAAAATAAACTTAAATTTAACAGGTAAGAAATACTCCCTTTGTTCTAAAACTATCTTCCCAGTTACTATTTACATTATCAAACTTAAATTATTTTTTTTACCTATTTTCGTTAATTATTTGATAAAATAATATAGTCTTGTCACCTCTTGTTTTGTAGTGCTTCTGATGTAGTTTTTAAATATATAAATTTTATTTTTTAATTACACACCTACAATCAAATAAATTAAATTGAAAATAAAGTCGGTCAAATATTGTAAACACAAATGGGAAGATAGTTTGAAGACAGAGAGAGTACCTTTTTTTACAAATAAGCATACAAAAATATGTCACCAACCGATTCCACAAAGAGCTTAGACTAAGGGTTAATTTCGTTCAACTTATTATTTAATCTTATTAAAACTAAATCAGATCAAATCTAATCAGAAGAAATCAGACCTAATTAAATTAGGCCAGACCAGAAACAACCTCAAATAAAATATAATGACAATCAAATTAGATTCAAACACATGGTAAGTTATAATTACAAATAAAACTCCCTTATTTCAATTTTCAAATTATTCAACAAAAAAAAAACAAATTTAAAGAGAGGAATATGCACCGCACGTTTCACCTACCATCCACCCATCCGGCCGTCAATTTGTCACCTCCTCATCCACACACCCCCATCAACCACATACTCCCTCCCCAATGTAAATATGGAGTATTAATGACTACTCTATGCGTTCCAAAATATTTGTCACATTTATTTTTTTCAACAGTCACGAAAATATTTATTTTTTATATATTTTTATTGATTATTTGATAAAATAAAATTCTTTAATATTTTTTGTTTCAAAATTTTTTTCACGTAGTTTTAAAATAAATTTTATTTATTGTTTCTATAGCAATATTTAAATAAAGTGAATTTAAAAAACTTGATATTGTATCTTGTTTTTTGAAATGTGGTAAATATTTAGGAATAGAAGGAGTAAATTCAGTTAATTATTCCTAATTATATGTGGTTTTTTATATTTTGTTTTTAATTTTAAGATATTACATAGTTATTTCTAATTTTTGAATGCTATTCTATAAATAGTCCTTTAGGCCAAGCATGATAAAATATTTTTTCCACAAATAATATTTGAAGGATCGATTGTGGAATACTCATAGTTCTCAAAAATTGAAAACTTTTTTTGTAATATCTTAGAATTTGGAACTAAACATGAAAAACTATATGTAATTAGGAATTATTTAAAGTAAAATTTGATGAGTAGATTAGTAATGAAAGAGTGTGATGTGAAAAGTAGGTTAAAAATAATTAGGGGTAAAATTAAATTTTTAATAGATTTTTTTTTTTGTAGAAGACAAGAAGTAAAAAAAATTTCTTTGCATAGTAAAAATAAACAAAAATAACGATTACATAAATGAAACATGATATGATAGGGTGGGAAATCATTCCCAACTCCCACCAAACGTGCTTTATTTGGTAGGTAGCCCTAATAATATACTCCCTCCCTTTTTAAACAATTTTATTTTCATTTTTTGCCCGTCTCATTCCAACATTTGCCGTCCACTTAAAATGTTCAAAATATTACTAAAATAAATTCTATCCATTAAAAAAAAAGAAAGGAGACATATTTTCGAAAAATTTAGATTGTGATAGAAGTATTTTGCCAAATGTCCAAAATATGTAGGTATACTGTTTACGGTAGACAATTTCTCCGCCCCAATTGTTTTCTTCTAATTTTGAAATTCTTTGTCAAATTTTATACCGAGTATTCTTTTACTACGAATTATTAAAAAATATTTATTTAATTATAATGAATATTCAATATAACTGAATTTATTTTAATATATATACTTTTGATATATCAAATTTTTACAATCAATCTAACATTTACTCGGTCTATAGTACACACGAGTATATATAGAGCAAATGTACATTTTATTCATCATCCACCCCCTTTCACTGCTTATAATTCAAGAAGAAGACAGACATATCAGAGTAAGCTCTCTTCAACACCTCTTGTTTACATCGATCTGACCTTTTCCCTACTAAAATGTTGAATAAAAATTGTGTATTTTTATCATCATATCATTTATATGTGTCCCTTTATTTATTTAACTTTTAATTGAATTGTTTTATTTGATTTGCAGTGGGTTCTGAAATGGTAATGGTGGATGGAATCCCATTCCCACCTCATGTTAACTTGAACAATAATACCCAGCTATCACTGATGGGTCATGGTACTATAATAATATTCCTTGGTTTTATTTTTCTTTCTTCTTCTTTTTCTTATTATTATTAATAATATAATAAATTAATTGCTTATTTGATGCAACAGGGATAACTGATATTGAGATCCATTTCCTCCAAATAAAGTTCACAGCAATTGGGGTTTATTTGGACCCTGAAATTGTGTCACATTTACAGAAATGGAAGGGCAAAACACCAGCTGATCTCTCTCAAGATGATGACTTCTTTGAAGCTGTGATTGAGGGTAATTATGTCATTGACCTCTGATTAATTTAAAATAGTCCCAAACAAGTCTCACAAATCCCAACTCATATCACATTCTTTACTTTGATAACAACACTCAAACATTCACATAAAAAACCATGAATGTCCCGTTTGGCATCAGCGTTAGAGATTCGCGTTAGCGTTTTGAAAAAGTTATCCGACGGTAGCTTTTAGCGTTAGCGTTTTCAGAATCAATCTGCACCATTAAATTTTTATTCAAAACGCTAAAACTAATTGAAAACGCTATTACCAAACAAAGCCGAAAAAAATATCAACCGGGCGTTTTTTAAAAATGATTTTTTTTTTCAAAATAATAATTTGGGCAAATCGAAACACGGTGTATATATGATGCAGCGGCAACAGATGCGGTATTGAGAGTGGTAGTGATAAAGGAAATAAAAGGGTCACAGTATGTGTTGCAGCTGGAGAGTGCTGTGAGGGACTTCTTGGCTGAGGCTGATTTGTTTGAAGATGAAGAGGAAGCTGCCCTTGAAAAACTTGTCACCTTTTTTCAGTCCAAATACTTCAAGCAAAACTCCGTCATCACTTTTTCGTTCCCCCAAAACGTGCCATCGAAGGTAGTGCGCAGTGTTATTAGAGTATGAAAATCTTTCCTCGGAAACTTGACCTGACTGTTAGAGTGTAAAATCTTTTCTGCAGATTGTGGTGTCCACGGAGGGGAAGGACGAGTCAACGATTGAAGTGGGGAATGCAAATGTGGCTAGGATGATCAAGAAATGGTACATGGGTGGAACGAGGGCGGTGTCTCCTAGTACGATCTCTTCCTTGGCTAAGACTTTGGCCATTGTCTAAGTCAATGCATGTCATGGTTTCAATTCCAATTATGTTCCTTTGCAATTCAAATAATGTATGTTTGCTTGTGGTTGTGTAGTTTTTGGGCTTTTGGCTCATATCTTGGCTATAGTGTTTGTTAGTGGGAAGTTTGATCCAAAATAAATGACTAATTGCTTTTACTTATATTGATGTTTGTGTTATTCATTGATTGGAAAAGATACTAGAAAATCTCAAAATGTTTAGAACATTATTGGGATTTTTGAAGAATAGTAGGATTCTCTCAAAACATGTAGAGAAGTGTTGTTGTTCAAGAGTTTTGTGTTGGTTCTTTTGCTTAAAACTTGATGATTCTTTATTCAACACAAATGGCCTATTGATGTATAATGTATTGGTTGGCTCTTTTACTAACCAATAATGCAAAAGCGTGGTACACTATTTGTGCATCGAACAAAAACAAATTGTTCACTTACAATTGAAGAATAATTTTTCGTACATAAGATATAAGTTAGAATTTCCATATAAACAACTACTCCCTCCGTCCTATATTGATCTTTCTACTTCCCTTTATTTCCCGTCCTAAAATCATCTTCCCATTTCTTAAAAAAGTATGTAAATAGACTATATTACCCCTTAACACCTCTCAATCATTGCCCTGTCCTCAGTCTCTGCCTTTCACCTCTTTTCCCCTTCTTCCGATTTCCATCTCCTCTTTCTCCATCTCACCTCCCTCTCCCTCCATCTCTCCTTCATATCACTTTCTCCGTCTCTCTTCCCTCTTCTTCTTTCTTCACCTCCTCAAAATCACAGATCTAAGATCTACGGGTTTTCAAGTTTGGTTCCCCTTTCGATCAACAATTTACCAAGTCTATCTCCCCTTTTCGATCTGCGATTTCTCATCATCGTCGATATCAAGGGGCCGGCGATTATTCACGATATCGCCGAGATCTGTGGTTTGTGCACCAAGAGCTGTCAGCGAGTCATCACAAGACCAGGCGCTTGGAAGTATGTGGTTTGTGCACCGATACCAAGGGGGGGATGACCTTTGCCGGCAACTAGGCGCTTAAGAAGTACTCTAACGATGAAGGAGGGGTATTTTCTTCGTCTCTGTGCTGCATTCCCTCTTCTCAATCACTGCCTTGGGAAGGGGGGTAATTTTGGAAGTCAAAGCAATATTTACTCATTCCTTAAAAATGACTTTTAGTCAAACTGGGAAGCTTAATATAGGACGGAGGGAGTACTTCTTTTCGGCACAAAAGGAGTAGAATGGTTGAACTACTAGACACTTTAATCCATTCCTCTAAAAAGGCATTTTTGCAGATTGATTTTCTCAATCAATAACTCTGTATATTTTATAAATTCTGGCTATTACGGAGTATTTAATTCAAAAATACACTGCATAACTTATTTAAAACTTTCGTAAAACGGTGGGATTTTAGTGACATCGGGTTTTGGTGACACTGGCGGTGTCACTATCATTTTGGGACACTTCCGGTGCTCCATTCGTAAAATTGACGGTTCCTACTCTCCTAACCCCCGCCCCTGCACCCCACCCCAACCCTGCCGTAAGCCCCCACAAAATGTGTGACCAATTTTAAATTTAGTTTGACAAAAGAGCTAGTGATAAAAGTAATTTTGTGCCACTAATAATTTCTCAAATAATTCAAAATGGGTGATTGGTGCACAATTTATTTGGACGGAGAGGGTGCCTTATAAAATTAGAATAAAGGTAGGGGTATACCAAAAATTATTATGGCCTTGTTTGGAAACATATCTTTTATAAGCGTTAGCGTTTTGGATAAAATTTTAATGGTATAGATTAATTTTGAAAATGCTAACACTAATGGCTACTGTCGGGTATTCTTTTTAAAACGTTAAGTAATAAGGTTGTTAAACGTTATTACTCCTAGATTAAATACTTGTCATTATTGGAGGGAGATGATTCATATTAGAGGAAAGTTCAGAGACATGCCTCCTACCCAAAGTTATAATATTAAAGAAGGGTATGATTGGCTGCAAGGAGAACTAGAACACCCAAAATGGATTGGCCTGGTTTGGAACAAGTTCTCCCCTCCCAAGTTTCAACATATAATATGGCTACTAATGAGAGGAAGATTACAAACTAGAGAAAGATTAAGCAGATTTATGACAATAAATACTAGATGTGTCCTATGTGATTCTGAGGAGGAAACTGATAAACATTTATTTTGGGAATGTGGATTTGCCCAAGCAATGTACAAGGGCTGTTTCACTAGGTTCAATTTTCAAATTGAGCACCTGAACCTGGATGAACTGGAGGTAGGCATGCAGAGGATAAAAGGAAAGAGAAGGGCACTGTTCATGGCAATATGGGCAGCTACAACATATGGCATTTGGAGAGCAAGGAACAAGAAGATGAATCAAGGAGAGTTTGACTTGGATGTGGCCATTAATTATATATGCTCTTATATGAAAAATTATCTTAGTTATAAGAAGGTTGTGTAGAATTTTGAGATGAGATGTGGTCATCTGAATGTATAACTGACTTTGGTTGGAATAATAAAGTTGTGTTTTTGTGCAAAAAAAAAAGGTTGTTAAACGTCCAATCCAGACCAAAAAAATATACCAACTGGACAATTAGGTCTAGACCAAACTCGGACAAAGTAATTTTTAAGTTTAAATCTTCGTTAAAAAACAATTGACATTCAGATATAGTTCTAATTCTGTTTAAACCCAATATAGTTTTGATCTAATACAAAATGGTCAAACTTCTATATTTTAAAATTAATATATTTCTTGTATCTCTTCTATATCTTTGAATTTTTAATTTCATCAATGGATCAAAATCATCAACACAAATAATTTGAAATCTATGTAGTTGGTCTAGACTAGTTCGGTCTTAAATATTTTAATCTAATTCATTCTAAAACCGAATAGTTCTTGGTTTGGTCTTCGGTCCTCAATTTGGTTCACTTCCCATTTGACCCGGTTTTTGACCGAAAAAACCATCCACGCCCAAAGCCACCAGTTTGCGTCCCTCGCCCGCTGCCATGTGCACATTGGATTTCTGATTTCCTGCGAGTATATAACACGGACTACTCCTAAATCAGTAGAAAGACGGCGAATCGCTGATCGGAGATGGCGCTTCGAAACCTGATGACTCGAAAAGCCCTTACCGGAGCTGCGACGGCGTTCCGGCAGCAGCTACGCGGCCTGCAGACCTTCACGCTTCCGGATCTTCCCTACGATTACGGCGCCCTTGAGCCGGCGATCAGCGGAGAGATAATGCAGCTCCATCACCAGAAGCACCATCAGGCCTACGTCACCAACTACAACAAGGCTCTGGAGCAGCTCGACGACGCCATCAACAAGGGCGATGTTTCCACCGCCGTCAAATTGCAGGCCGCCATCAAATTCAACGGCGGAGGTCCGTCTCTATCTCTCTCTCCGATTTATTGTTAGGGGGTGCCATTTTAGGTTTTTGTTTATGGATTGTGATTGTGCTCGAATTAGGGAGGGGCGCATCAGATCAGATGCTGTATTTTGTGAATTTGTGATAATTAGGTTTTGCTAAGCTTTTGAATTCTCTAGCTATGTTGTCAATATTGAGCAGGTCAATATTGATCTGAGAATTCAATGGAGGCATCGTCTTATATCAGATCATCAAATCCCACTAGGGGAATGGAAAATGAAATTTCAATAGTTTAATAAGTAATCCAATCACTTACTGTATGTGTTAGTCTTACTTGTGAGCTTTGAGCAGCTTTATCTTCAATGGCTAATCAGTAAACCATATACTTACTGTGTGTTTTCATGTTGTGAGCTTTGAGCAGTTTTAACACAAATCTACTGCTTAATTACTCTTCAGTGTCAAACTATTCATAATTTTGCCAGTTATTCCAGTAGTGCACGAGTTTGGTTTAAAATAGTCCATATTTTCGAACAGGCCATGTGAACCACTCGATTTTCTGGAAGAACCTTGCCCCTGTTCATGTAAGTTAATACTTACCTAATACTATGGTGTGTTCTTTATTTGAAGAGAAAATTCGTGTCGGAAAATTTCCTAAGTTGTAATGACAGGAAGGGGGTGGTGAGCCTCCAAGGTCATCTTTGGGATGGGCCATTGACACTAATTTTGGCTCCCTGGATGCTCTGATCCACAAAATGTCTGCAGAAGGTGCTGCTTTACAAGGTTCTGGCTGGGTGGTAAGTCTCGTGCTGTTTTCTAATCCCCCCACCGGAATTTATGTTCATTGGTGGATTTATTGGCTGGTTACGCTTCCTATGTATGCAGTGGCTGGGTCTTGACAGTGAACTGAAGCACCTTGTGGTTGAAACCACCCCAAATCAGGTACTTAGAAACCATTCTTCTTCTATAACCATCCAATTGTTTTTTCCCCATGCAGGATAAGGTCTGCGTACATTCTGTGGTATTATATTGGGTTTGTTGTTGTAATTGTTTGAGAGTTTCTCTATATCTCCTACAGGATCCTTTGGTTACTAAAGGAACAAACTTGATTCCCCTGCTGGGCATAGATGTCTGGGAACATGCATACTACTTGCAGGTTGTTGTTTACCCTTGAACCGCAGCAACTTCATCCTTTTAACTCATGTTTTAGTTTCATGACAATACACGTACGTGATACGTTTTCTTGTCATGATGCAGTACAAGAATGTGAGACCAGATTACTTGAAGAACATATGGAAGGTCATGAATTGGAAGTATGCAAGCGAAGTTTATGAAAATGAGTGCCCTTCTCCATTTGGGTCAGGCAGAACTTGATCAGATGATGACTCAAGGTGCAAAGCTTTTATGAGTTTAATGTCCAAACAGAAAATAAGGCAAATTGTTCCCCAAGACTTGTCGACCTAGATGGCTTTGTTCTGTGTATTGCGGGTTAACTCATAAACACAAATGTTGTGTGGGGATTATTGCCCGTTGTGTACTGTGAACCGTTTGGTAAGAGTTATTTGACTGAATATGTCGAATCTGCCGAAAAGTAAATTATACAGTGCTATTCAACACAAATGAACCCATGAAGAGAACTGTTTTTATTACGAGGCTTGGTATCTATTACTTCGCATTGTACAAAGGTTCACGGGGTGGCACCGTGGACATGCCATTATTAAACTAGCTTAGCCAACACAGCCAAAAATACAAGAGTTACAAAACACAAGAATCACAATGAAGAGAAGAAAGGACCATCCTCTGCTGAGTGAGGGGTGAAAATGTATAGTTCACAGCCATGAGAGTTGACCTGAGCGCCAAACGATCCCTCTGCATTCTCCGAAACCACTTCGTGCTGCAATTCGAAAATAGTATTTTGCGTAAACGTTGTATGTTATCAAAGAGAGCTAAGTTTTACTAGGACTGAAAATGCAAAGTACTAAGGCTTTGTTTGGAAACAATGTTTTTAATCAGCGTTAAACACTGTCATTAGATAGTCCTTTTGAAATGTTAAAACTAAACGTTGAGGTTGTTGCAGAATAAGGCCTAAGATAGATTTGCTCTCACCTTCCACAGATCCCTAACAGAGATGGCGGTGGTCGGTTCAAGTCCAATTTCATCCCAGCGTGCAGTGATCGTTGCAGCTTCCTGACATCGGTTCCAAAGTGCTACAGCCAAGCGGTTTCCATACAAAGGCCCTGCCCATACCTGGACAACATACTTATTCATATTTTTAATATTTGTTTCAAGCCTAAAAAAAGTTTTTGAAGCAAGGAAATTTTGTTCTACAATGAACAAGTAACTTGACATGACAATCATGTGGCTAGTGGATTTTGCTACAGGTCCTATTGATGAATGTCACACCATGTAACTAGCTCATCAGTCATCACTATGGGGCACTTCGATTGCTTCATTCATTTCTTTATTTACATTACACATGATGCATTTGATTGCATAATACTTCATCTCTCCTAATATTATTTTTTCTACTTTATTTGGATTGTCCCAAAATTGTCACTTTCGTTTTGAGAAAAAGATTGTTCCATGCGGCGTGTATTGAGAGAGTGATTTTCTGAGACCATTTTGGGCTATAAGAATGGACTCCTTGCACGTCTCTAGAGATAGTCCCCCTTTAACGGGCCGTTGGGTTCTTGATTTACCTCCCTCCACATCCCTCATCGGGCCGGGGTGTGGGGGGCCTTGGGGCTGGGGATTCAGACTTTTTGCAACAAGAAAAAGTTTGTGGATTCTATATTATCTCTCTTTCATCTATACAAAAACCAACACACATGATCTACTTTATTTAAAATTGTGTCAATTTTGTGCAAGAAGATAATTATGGGACAAGGGAGTAATAATTAATAATGATAATTCTTTGCACAAATACAGAAACGACAAGATGCCAAGGCTGACCTCTTGGCATCCATCTGCTCCAGAAACTGAAATTTTCCTTCCTTGAACTCCAAGTGGATCTGCAAATGCACAAGAGATATACACATATTAATCAACTTCCCTTCAATGAGAGAGAGAGAGAGAGAGATGACCTTGGTCTACGGCAATGACCTCGGGATTGCTGAGAATTTCAAAAGTTTCAGCTGTCATGTTTCTTATATCACAACCAATTATAAGTGGAGCCTGCAAAACCAATTTAGACAAAGTTAGCACTATTTCTTCCTTTCTTTGCACTTCTTGCTTTGATCCTCACATGCTTATTCATTAGTATGATCAATTTTCGGAACAAGGCGAAAGTAGCCTCAACCCTCACCCCACCTTTCTTTGACCCCAAACCTTCTCACAGACATATTGAACAATAAAGGTTGTCAATGAATGTGTGCGAAGAGGAACAGCGTTGAGAGCCGCGAGTTTACAATAAAGACAAGAAACCGGGAAGACACGGATTTAATACTAAAATACTCGGTATTTAACAAAATTCAATACCATTAGAAAAACTCTACTATTCTAAGAACTTATATAAGAATATGAGCCACTCCTCTCCGTGCAATTGGTTTTGGCCTTTTGGGTTGGAATCTCACGATTCTACAAAATAAACAATCATGTAATTAGTGAGGAAAGATTTTTTTAGGCAAGAAATACCTTCATTAATGCCCAAATGCTAAAATGAGCTCGGTACTCCTCATAGTTCATCCCACCGTTTCCAACTTCTAGCATATCAGGATCTACAATAGATCCAACAGTTCAGAACTCAGCATCCGAAATCATCTTTTGAGAATTTTCAACAAAACAAAGAACATGCCCGTCTCTACCATTCCATCCACCAGGTCCGGCATATGCAGCCCACTTATTGTTGATATCAGCAATCGTTGTGATGCTAAACATGAAATATGATGAAGCTAAATCACTATACTCATAACAAAATCCCAGAAATGTAGATGTTTATTCATTTTTAGGTTTAAGGAGGACACCAATAAGGAGGTGGTTAAGAACATGTTATGTGTTGTTAGATGGCGTGGGAAGGAATTGGTATTAAAAGTATTGCATTTGGTACATTTTATTGAGTAAATTCCACAAATGGTTATCTAGTTATGGGTATTCCACATTAGTTCATTGCCTTATGAAATTCTATTGGAGGTCCACAATAATGGCAAACATTTTCCAGTTTTAGTCCTCTATGTTATTAAATCCAACCATGTTTCTCAAAATTTGGAATATTACTACTTTTCGTCCTTCATTAGCGTATCGTTTTGAGAACCTTTGATGGAAAGAAGACTAAAATTGGCAATGCCCGCAATTAAAGTGGATTTTCAATGGAATTTTATAGAGTAGTGGACTAAGTGTGGAAAATCCCCAAATATAGAGGACATTCATGGAATTTACTCTATCTCTTGGTGTACTTAGAAACATATTAACTTACACATACAATAATAAAAGTGTTGAACAATTTTGGTAAAAACAAAAAGGCTAAAGAAATAAAGGGGAAAAATTAATTAACTTCCCCAAATCCATCCAAATGGGGGCGATGTGGGGGGGGGGGGGTGTGATATGGGGAGTTTGGTAAATTTCATAGCATTTTTGCAATGAAAGGGACAAAAAACCCTTCAATTTCCTCCCCTCCCTCCATAATTCTCCGACCATACAATCCGATAGGTTGATGTACACCTACTCTCCCCAAACCCCACTCGCGGAATTTTGTTGGGGTGTGCTTTTGTGAGTTATCTATTAGATGCCAAACCATGTCTATCCAAAAAAAGATTTGTATAGCACCATAACATTTAAATCGAAGTTCTTCCTAGTGAACCAAGAGAAAAAGAATCAACAATTGAGAACCTTGCCCATGTATCATTGATGTCGTCCGTAGTGCGCCAACTATTTCCAACAGCAGGAGCCCATAATGCAGGATCATCAACACCCCTGTCAAGTTAAATGCCAGAGAGAGTAGATAAAATACAGAACGTTCTAAATAGCATGGTTTCAACCCTCATTACAAGCAACTTTTGAGGTAAAATGGAAGTTACCACTCACAAAGGGCATAGAACATACTGCGCCCACTAGCATTTAGGGCATCGCGCATCACCGGATATCTGGCCATAATTGGACCATTCTTGTCAGCATTCTGATAGAATGGTAAAAATAACCAAAAACACACCAGACAAAAGTACTCCGTATTACCTTTTCTTTGGTTCAATGCCCAAATTGAAACAATTGTCGTATTTCAAGTAATCGACATCCTGCTTGGAGAATAACTAAGTTACTGATTTGCAGTAGCGAATAGAAAATGCTTGGGTGGAAATAGATGGAAACTTTGTGTGGAAAGAGAAAATTAATTACTAGTTGAAACTGGATGCGTTTTTTTAAGATATTCCTTTGAACTCTTATTTATACTATTCTTCATTTTTCTTGTCAATTACTTTTATTTTACAAAACAAGAGAACAATCAATATAATGTATAAGTTGTGATTTACTTCACCAGTAGACTTCCTAGGATACAACAGAACACAGTTTCTTACTATAAAGAGAAACATAATCTAACCCAAGATGCCCAAAGTGCTGCATCGTCATACTCATGATATAGTGATCCCGCTCGAACTTGACACGTAAAAATCCTACAAAAATTGATTTTGGTAAAATTGAGTCTAGAAGACCACACAACTTAACAGCCATTTTTTTTTGCCCAATCTTAATATAGGAAATAATTTAAATAAGTGAGTATTCTGATTAATACTTGATAAATTTGTCTTACCCAGCATCAGAATAGATACCGAGTTTGAGTCCCCTCGCATGCACATAATCTGCAAGAGCTTTTATTCCCGATGGGAAGGATTTTGGATCATTGACTAACTCACCCTGCAGAAAAAAAATGAGATTCTTTATCTGAAATATTAAGTACTAAAAAAAGTAGTGTTTGACCAAGGTACAACTTCATGATAAGGGCAAGTGCTACCCTTCAAGAAAACATTGCTTGATGAACTTCACAAAAATAGTGTTAAGGAAGTTACCATATACCCCGAATAATAATATTCTGTGAGTATTTGCTCATAATAATCTTATTGTCTTTCCTTGTATTACTTAGTTTAGAATACTACCTTATTGAGAGAATTGACCCCGGATGTGGGTTTCTCAACTACATATAGACTCATTTGAAGCTCATAACATATACAGAAAATACATAGAAACATTCCCAGAAAGTAGTGTTCTAAGTCTGTCGTGATATCAAGGCATACGATCTGACTATATGACCTGTAGCCACGATAGTGGGCCACCGAATGAAGAAAAAACACGAACCAGTGGATGCTGGCTGTGAGGGGGTGTTGGAGTCATCCCACATTGGCTATAATAATGCTAGATATGAATGAAGGAACCCCTTAATAAGTCGGCGTGTCTGATGAACTGACCTTTGAATTCCTCAATGCAGTTGACCAGCAATCATCTGTTGTCAATAATGGTATAAGTGTCAATTAATGTACAAGTAAAGGTGCTCAAGAAGTATTTCAGAAGCTCACCGATGTTCACATACGTATATCCCAACCTTGCCAGACCAGTTGATATGAGCGCATCAGCTGCCAAATCGTAATGAAGCATAGCAATATAAACATGATAACTAAGAGAATGGAATGAGATTTGAAGCATAGCAATATAAAAGCATACTTATTTTTACCAGTTTCTTTGATGATCGTCTCGTTAATTTCACATGCAAATAAATTCCAGCTGTTCCATCTGCTCAAAAACACGGCCGAAGATTTGTTTATGGAGTAATTTTTTAAAGGAATTAGTCCCTCTTTCGTCTCATTCGCTATTCATGAGGTCAAAAAATATCTTCTTTCCTTACATATTTTCATTAATAACTTGTTATAATAACATAGACATATAACCTCTTGTTTCATAGAAGTTTTGAAGTAAGTTTTAAATATATAAATTTTATTTGTTTATTTTGCACCAATATTTAAATAAATTAAATTAAAAATTGCTTCGGTCAAGCATCCTAAACCGAAACGGTACAACCATAATGGGACCAAGAGAGTATTATGAAAAAAAATTGCCAAACAAGGCAACAAACATACCCTACCCTAGAACTGGAAATTTGCAACAAAACATGAAATTAGATTTGATAAAATATATAAAAACATATCTCGACATTCAACCACGAACTTGAGCTTTTGATTGAGTTGGTACTTTAACAAAGATAAAATCAATCTACCACAAGATCAATCCATAAAAGCTTAAATGTTTAAATAAAAAAAAGAAAGCAAGATCAAAAGTATACCCCATTTGAGGAGTTGAAGCCAAGCCATTGTTGAGCTGAAGAATGCCATAGTTGGAAGTGTCATAGGTTTCGGGATTCACAGTGGGGTTTCCCTTTCCCCTTTGCTGAACCGTATGGCGGCGGAATGGGTGGAGGAGGGGCGGCTGCGGTTTTGCCCCTTCCGCGGCGGCGACCCACCATGAAATCGCACACAGAAGCAGTGCGGTGGCGGCAATGCCCCTGCTTCTCCCTTCCGCCATTTTCTATCACAGATGACCGACTGTTCTGAGTGTTGTTGGAAGCTGGAAAGGAACTGTCTTTCAATCAAATTATATTAAATTTAAATTATACGAAGTAATTATATATATATATATATACATACATACATATATACATATATATATATATATATATATATATATATATATATATATATATATATATATATATAGCATTTATTACAATTTGTAATCAAAGTAATAAAAAAAATCATGTTTCGTATATAACTGCTTGAATACTCATTTTCAAGTAAAAATCATGGTATAATCTGAATCTGATATCAGAGATTTAGAGATATCGCCTCGTGGCCAGTGCACACAAGGAGTTTTACAAATAATAGAACTCGCACACTATCGCTACCAGGATTCAACCAAATGTCCTCATCCCCTCCTTGTCCACTAAAAAAAGTAAAAAAATTCAAAAAAAATAAGTAAATAAAAATCAAATAAAAATGTGTGGAGGAAAAGAGGGTGGTGTACATTTGGGGTACCCCAAATGGTGTACCCCTAGCATTGCTCTTAACCGGCATACCGGTGGGGGCTCTAACTTTATTTTTGAGAAGAAGACGTGGAAGGAGGCTAAGAAGCATGATGGACAGGTGTTGAACGCCTGGTGCTTTTCCTTGGATTCAAATTCCACTTTTGACGAAAATTTCTTATTAAGACGACAGATCATATTCTATATTTCTCACTTAGGATTATAATTTTACTCTGCATTTATCTCTTCTCGAATAGTTTGTGAATGTTCAGGCCGAGTCTGGTCAAAAATATGATTTTAGTTGCGACAAGTACAGAGTATTTGTCTTTGGTTAAAGAAATGTATTCGTATTTTCTATTGCCTGAAAATATAATGATGATGTAACTCTATTACCAAGTATAGAATAGTTAATACTCCCTCCGTCTCCAATTTAATTTTTTGGTCATTTTTAATGATGTATTTTTATTGATAATTTGATTAAACATTAATTTAAATCTCCTTTTATGTTACGAGTATGAAATTTTCAATATAATTTTTAAATATTTCATAATATATAATTTTATCAATTTAACGCTATTATTAAAATTAATTAAATTTATTATAACTTTAGTCATATATCATAAATAACTTAATCATTTTTTAGATAGAAGAATTATTTTTTGTTATATATATATATATATTAAATTTTTAAAAATGTTTGAACCACTGATTCAACCATTCGAACCACTGATTCAACTAGTGAACCAGTACTTCGACCGATTCGATCGCCGATCCAGTTCTGAAAACTATGAGCGGTACAACCATACAAGAACGCTCGTTGGGAAATGTGACTCACCATAACGAAAAATAAAGCATCTTCTTGCTTTTGGTCAAGAAAAGAAAGCAAAAAAAATTTTTTCCCTTTTTTTGTGACAGATGGTTTAAAGTTTTGAAAATGTGGAAGGAAAATTAAGGACCCGGCCCAATTTTCAGATATTGGGCATGGCTAACCGCAGGCCGAGTAACCAGAACCAAATAAATGAAAATTAAGGACCAAACATGAGTACTCGTGATTTTTGGGTTGGCCCGACCCACATTTGTAATATTTTTTACTTCTTTCGTCTCATAAAATCAATACCCCTTCTCAATATGGGAGTAATCATGTATTATATTTCCTACTTTACAATTGACAATATCATTTTTTTCATAAATTTCATTACTTATTGTGATACGAGTTGTATCACACAAACGCTGCCGGAGTGAGAACCACGCCGCCGTAGGAGTTCGGCGGCCACAGACGTAGGAAACCAGGGAAGGGAAATTAGGGTTTGTGAGAGAAGAGAGAGAGAGAGAGAGAGTTTTAGGGAGAGGAGAAGTTGTATATTACTGCTTGGCTATTTTGGGGTACAAGTCCGTATTTATAAGATGAACTTCCTCAAACCCTAGAACTAACCTGTCGGTTCAAGAAAAGCGATAAGGGAAAGAACCGAAAAGAAAACCTTTGAAGGAGCTTATAGACCGCTCTTCTAAAAAAAACTACGTTACATGAATGAAACTAAATAATACTAAAAAGTAAACATTAAACATAGTCGTCGTAGTGACGGGGCGGCCGTACTTGCCTCCGGGGTCTGTCCGATCCTGCTCCGTTACCACCCGGTGGCGCCACCGCACCCGTATCAACTCCCCCCGTTAAGGACGTCCTTGTCCTCAAGGCGAAGGTCTGGAAAATGGCGCACCAGATCGTCCTTTGGCTCCCACGTAGTGTCGTCGTTGGACCCCTCTGACCATTTCACCCGCCATTATTCCTGGAGAGCACCGTCGACCATCACCGTACGCCTGTCCACAGCGGCCACTGGAGTTGCAACAGGTCGCCCCTTAAAGAATTGCGCCGGAAGAGAAACCTGCGGTGTATCGCCCGGCCTGCCCACAAACGGCTTCAACAGAGAAACATGGAAAACATCGTGGATTCGGCACCCATCCGGAAGACGCAAACGGTATGCTACAGCCCCCACTTTCTCCAAAACTTCAAACGGGCCATAATAACGGCGGGCCAATTTGGGGAAAGAGGTCGGGCCACCAAGTGTTGGCGGTATGGTCGAAGCTTGAGAAGCACCAAATCCCCAACCGCGAATGACACCTCTCAACGATGCTGGTTTGCCTGGGACCGCATACGCTGCTGCATCCGTATCAAATGGCCATGAAGATCGGTTAACAGGTCCGCTCGCTCTCGCAACATCTCTTCGACCTCCGGTACTCGTGAACGCACTGCAATAGTCGGAAAGACGGATGGCGGAGGCCGACCATATAAGGCCTGAAAAGGTGACAGTCTCAACCCTTCGTGGTGACCACAATTTAAAGCAATCTTTGCCCAAGAAAGAAAACCCGACCATTTCGTCGGGCGTTCCGAGACGAACGCGCGTAGGTATTGCTCCAAGTTCCGATTGAGGACCTCGGTCTGGCCGTCCGTCTGAGGATGATAGGCCGTGGAAAACTTGAGGGAAGTCCCACTCAATCGGAAAAGCTCCTTCCAAAAGTGGCTCATGAACACCGGGTCCCTGTCCGAAATAATGGACTGTGGAAAACCGTGGAGCTTTACAACGGTGTCAACAAAAAGTCCGGCTACCCGAGGCGCGTCAAACCCTGCTGCCAACAGCCCAAAATGTGCGTACTTGCTCAATCTATCCACAACCACCATAATGACAGAAAACCCCCTGGAAGCGGGCAACCCGGTAATAAAATCCATCGAGACTGATTCCCAAACTTGGACGGGAACAGGCAGACGCTGAAGGAGACCGCTGGGCTTTTGTGTCGAGTATTTTGTGGATTGGCAGATCGCACAAGAAGCTACGAAACGACGAACATCGGCCCGCATGCCAGGCCAGTAAAATACTTGCGCCAACCGCCGAAAGGTGTGTTCCCGGGCTTGATGACCTGCGGCTGGAGTGGAATGGAACTCCTCTAGTAGGGCCGAATGTAATGAGGAAGTCCTGCCCAGGTACAGCCGCCGTTTGAAATATAAGAGCCCATCATGTACTGAAAAGTCCGGGGAAGCTGTGCCGGCCGTAACTGCTGCGTGGAGTTCCTGGAGTTCCGGTAGGGACTGGTTTTCCAACCGGAGGTCGCGTATTAGGAGAGGCAAGGGCAGTACTAGAGCCATGAAGCTTGGTGGCCTGCAGGTCCGAACTGAGATTGGTTATGGCCTGCATGACGTCGACCAAAGTCACCGAGGAAGGTTCCGAAGAAGCTGCCATGAGATCTCTCAATGAGAGCACCAGATGATACGAGTTGTATCACACAAACGCTGCCGGAGTGAGAACCACGCCGCCGTAGGAGTTCGGCGGCCACAGACGTAGGAAACCAGGGAAGGGAAATTAGGGTTTGTGAGAGAAGAGAGAGAGAGAGTTTTAGGGAGAGGAGAAGTTGTATATTACTGCCTGGCTATTTTGGGGTACAAGTCCGTATTTATAAGATGAACTTCCTCAAACCCTAGAACTAACCTGTCGGTTCAAGAAAAGCGACAAGGGAAATAACCGAAAAGAAAACCCTTGAAGGAGCTTATAGACCGCTCTCCTAAACAAAACTACGTTACATGAATGAAATTAAATAATACTAAAAAGTAAACATTAAACATAGTCGTCGTAGCGACGGGGCGGCCGTACTTGCCTCCGGGGTCTGTCCGATCCTGCTCCGTTACCACCCGGTGGCGCCACCGCACCCGTATCATATTGCCTTAAATAATACCGATTATAGTAATATCATCTCTTATTACGTAAATTTGTTTATATAATTTTTAAATCTATATACATTTAATTTTTGTTTAATTTTGTACCAATTGATCAAATAAATTAAAATCAAAATAAATTCAGCAAAATATCTCAAAGTGGACAATTTCGTTTTAAGACTTCGTGTAGGCCAGGTGGTATCTTTTTTCTTCACACCTACTGGGATCGGAAGTCTGGGAGCTTGATCAGGTACTCCATTATATATCTCTGTAGCGACTTGACTTCCATTGGACTAGTCTCATCTTAAATTTGATTTAAATTAAAATTATTATTATTATAGTTATAATAATAGTAGTAGAAATATTGATAATAATAGCATAATAATAACTATGATAATAAAAATAAAAAAGAAGAAAGACCAAAGTAAGACTAAAACATTGAAAATATACCGAAATAGTACTTCCATGCTTAATTTTTATTCCAGAAATATGACTTACATTACCATACATACTCATATACATTACCAAAAAAATAGGAATTTGCACATGTATGTACACTGTCACATTACAACAAGGTAAAGTCACATTACCATAATGCAAAAACTTATTTCAAAAAAACATGAAAGTCCTATTTTGGTACTTTTCTCTATGTTTTAATCATATTTAGGGTGATTTCTATAGTAAAAATAAGACGAATAATAATAATAGATATATTAATAGGGGCCGGTTCCAATGACATCCGGAACCAATGTCATGGGATGACCCGGAGGTGCTCCGGTGCCCCGTTCGTAAAATTGTGGTTCCTACCCCCTCTAACCCTCCCAGTAAATCCCCACCCTCATGTACATTACCAGAAAGTATAGTAATGTGCACATGTACAATGCAACATTACAATCACATTACCATGTACAATGTAAAGTCTTATATCGAGAATAAAAACATGAAACTTCTATTTTCAAACTTCTTTCTATTTTTTGTCTTATTTAAGGTGATTTGTGTTAGATATTATAGCGGGAATAAAAAATAATAATAATTCGAACTTATAAACCGTTCAGATTTTACAATTGAAATAAAATAACGAAAGTTGAATCTACATGAAGCTTGAACGAAACAGACAGTGGCAAAAATCCAAATGGAAAGAGCAGGAACACGAACGGACTGAGGAAGGAGTCGAACAGAGTAGAAGTGTTGACCGTCGAGTAGAGACGTCGAACATAAAGTAGAGACGAACCAGAACAGCTTCTGGAAATTGAGGTTTCGAAAGCAGAGTCGCCGGAGCTTTCCTTAAGGTAGTATTGCCTGCCTCCCGCACTGGCAAACGCGGGTAATCTCCTCCCAGGATAAACCACAGCGTGTAAAGTCTAGAGCGGTAGAACGATGCACCGGCGAACGAGAACGACATGAAGTTATAGCCAGAGAAGATGATCGGAAACGGGGAGATAGTCGGAAATCTATTCGTATTTCAAAGACGTTTTTTCGAGTGTGTTTATCCTTGCAGCCGAGCCCTCCTTTTATAAGAGAGGAATTGACTCTTCATTGGACTGGACGGAGTTTACAAGGCGTCACAGGCCAACCCTTCGCCTCATTGGACTGTACACGCGTGTTTGATTCGGACTCGTAAAAAGCTAGCCCAGCCCCGACACGCGCGTGCAGCGTGGGCGTGATGAGCTGGACAGGCGGCGGCGGCAGAGTGCGAGGAGTCCTTTTCTTGTTCCTTTCATAAGTTCAATTGAATGCTTAAATTTAACTATGAGATTACGAAAGATTAAAAAACCGGTGTGGGACAAGAGTTTTACTCTTCCCTCATTTTCAAGTTTGAGAATTAATTTTTCATTCACCCGAGCACCATTTATGGAGTGTAGTATGTCGAAAAATTTATTTTATTTACGAGATTAAACGTTCATAATTATTTCGGAAAATAATTTTGTACCTTACTCAATTTATGTTTGAAAATGCCTAATTTATCAAAAAAAATCAACAATTTGTATAGAAACTTGGGGACGGCCGCATGCCCCTAGGGATGCTGGATAATATATGCCCTTGCCTATGTGGATAGTACTGGCCGGATCCACCCAACGTCATCTTAGGATTCTTAGCATAACCATTCATATGTCGTACACATTTCAATAAAATGGACAACGACCAAAAATAAACCTACTTGTATAATACAGTTTTGCACAAATATTTTGATGGTTTAGATTGACACAAGTGTTGCTGCGTTAACAAAAATTTACATGGACACACAGATGTTAGTGCGTCAACAAAAATTAATTTTACATCATTACAAAATGTTAGTGTAAACCTGCAGGGTACAAATGTTGGGATACACGTAGCTTAATCCAATGGACAAATAGTCGAGAGGGGAAATAATAATTTTGAAGAAATTAGACTGACCCATCTTTATTAAAGTAATTGGGGCCAATGATATGCCCCTTAGTAGTAACTTATTGGTTACAATACAACATGTAATGTGCCAAAAAGTTCAACACATAATTAAAATCAATCCTTAATTGTGAACACAAAATATCTAAGCCTTCGTTCCGATCTAATGAATAATTAAGGCATGCACAAGGCTTGTATATAGATATATATTACGGAGTATATAGTAGCTAGATCCATGAACAATAACAACAAATTAAGAAATAAATACTCAATTAAGATAGCAGTAATTAGAAATGAATGATTAACGAACGAAAGAATAATATCGTACTCCGTCTATATATACTTGTGCGTATCTTTTGTGCACACACAATATTAATTCAACAAAGAATCTTAATTAATTAAGCTTCTTCGCTAATTAATTACTGACGTCATGTGTTATGCCACCTGGTCCGGACGGAGTCACTTGTCCTTTCGGCAACATGTGCAGCAGCGAAACCACGCGCTTCCTTCTCAACGCGCTCGCGGCGGCTTCCGAGCTGACCATCCCGCCGCCCGCAATTGCCTCTTCGTCCTTATCCGTCGGGGGGAGCGAGGGATCCGGCGGCGAAGATCCGATCTTGGCCGCGGAGGCGGCGACGGCGTCGTGGCGGAGCGGCCGGCAGGCGGACGACGGCTGGGCGCCGCGTAGTAAAATTGCGAGGGATAAAAGAGAGATTATTGCGAGGAATTTGGTCGTCATGGCGGGAGATCGAAATGGTAGAGTGAGATTTGGTGTGGGAACGTAACGGAGTTTGTCTGTTTATATATATATATGTGTGTGTGTGTGGACTAATCCGTAGAGTGGGGATGAGTTAATGTGGATCGAGTCTCTATTGACGCCGTGTGGAGCAAGAAACCGGTGGTGGGTGGGTGGGTGGCGGTGCTTCTCGCCTGGCGGTTTTATTTGGAAAAAGTCAGCTCTTATTTGTTTGACCTACATCGATACCAACAAGCTACCAAGCGTAAGAACAAGTGACCTAAGAGTAGGGAATACTTGGCCGATATGGGTCAACAATTCGGTCAAATATAATTACCATAATAAAATTTATACTTATATTATTGGTGGGTATTTTATAATTAATATAAGTATTTTAATTTGTACTCCCTCCATCCCTAAATAAACTTCTCTTATTAATTTTTTTAGAAATTAAGGAAGGGATATTTTGGTGTTGACTTTCCAAAAACACCCTTGATGTGATGGATAAAGGTAGGATGTGATGAGTAGATTATTAGTAAAAGGTATGATGTAATAGGTAGGGTATAAAAAAGTAAGAGATAAAAATGATTTTTTAAGGAAAAAGAGAAGTTTTTTTAGGGACAAAGAATAAACGAAAAGAAGAAGTTTATTTGAGAACGGAGGAGTATATATTTTTTCGACGCAAATGTGCATATATTCTTTTACACCTTAAAGATGACAATAATTTTTAAATATAAATTATTCACATTCATTTTCAGATGAAAATACGTTAGTAAATATTACTCGTTACTTTTTTGCATTAAATTATTTTGAAAGCTTATAAAATAAATACATTGCAAAAACGTAAATCTTTTTTTTTTTAATTTAAATAATTGGAAGTTGAATTTTCAAATGCACATAGGCTCGTTTACTAGAGTCCATTAAAAGGGAGACCGGCAATCAATAATTATTTAAAAGTAAATTTCATAATTGGTCTTTTATAACAGGGAGTTTCCATATTTAGTCCTCTATTATCAAATATTACACCGTAATCCTTTTTTAAGTGTGCGTTTCCACAAATGGTCCTTTTTTATCTTCTGTCATGTTGGTGTTAATTTAAAGACTAAACGAATAATTTGACATCAACATTATGTGTAGTGACATGTTCTGATATTGATTAAACAGATAATACAAAAATAATGACTATGATTGTGGGCTAGGATTGCGAAGAAAACCACATTTAATTTGTAGACTATGATTGTAGTAGAAAGCGACTGTAATTCACAAGCGACGCAAACAGAACAACTTTTGGAATTGTGTATGACAAAAAAGATGTATTGTCATTGTGAAATTACACATTTAGCTCTCAAATTAATACCAACATGATTGAAGATAAAAAAGGACTATTTGTGAAAAGATATCCATAAAAGAAGGATCATTATGGTAATATTTGATAATAGATGACTAAATAGGGAAACCCCCTATTATAAAAGATCAATAATTATAGAATCTACTCATTATTTAATGTGTAAAGTAGGGCATGTCTTCTTTTTCATGTCATCTTTTTAGTATGATTGGTTAGAGTTTGATAGGAGGGAAATTTTATTTTAAATAAAAAAAATAACTCCCATTTTAACTTGCGAACCGCAATCCCGATCACCCAGATCGATAAGTCATGCGGTCTTAATTATGTGAAACTATGTGAGAGTGCGTATGTATATATGCCTCAAAAAAATGTGACAAAATTTTATGATCTTGAAAGCATACAAACTAAAGACTCCTACTCAATAATTTACGCTTTTATATTTGTATATAGTAATAAAGTAATTAAGTTTTATATTATAAAAGAATTTTGATTTTGGCAAAAAACAAAAGATTCACTTCTCAAATCATGAAAAGCATGAGAAGGTTTATATTTCACATGTAAATTTTAAGAACACAGAAAAATATCTTTGTATTGAATTAATGATAAAACTAACTTGGATAAATTAGAAAAGCTCAACATAAAAAAACAAGTCACACGTATCCGCCCATATTTACGCGTTAGGGCTTTAGGGGACCATTTAGTGTTCACTTAGGACAGCAGTGATGACTTACGTGTTTGGTGACCACTGAGTTAGGCTTTCTTTGGTAACAACGTTTTCAATTAGCGTTAGCGTTTTAGATAAAATTTTAGCGGTGCAGATTAATTCTAAAAACGCTAATGCTAAAGGCTACCGTCGGATAGCGTTTTCAAAACTCTAACGCTAATCTCTGCATTGATGCCAAACAGGGCCTTAGACTATATTAATTCTGAGTTCAAAAATCATTTTTATAGTTCAACATATTTCCGTTTCCACTAAATACGGAGCAAGTGTTAGTTATTCATTTCGACTAATCAACATTTAATTATGTACTGTTCTTGATTTTTGTAAAGTCAATAATTGTTTATTTGTTTTTTCGAAAAATGTGTAAGAAATAAGTAGGAAAAAGGAATTCACTGTATTCTTTGACCATTGTGAATCAAGTTGTTAAGATAGGGACGAGTGGAAAATTCAAATCAGAGAAGTAAAAAATAAAAGAGCCATGCTAGGGTACGCCAAATGTGTACCCCATTTGTCCCACACCCCCTTCTCCACCATTCATTTTAGCTGCTTTTTATTTATTTAAAATTTTTTTAAAAAATTTTTGCCCATTTTTGTGGTAATGGAGGGGGTGGGGGACAAAAAGTGTACCTCTAGCATTTTTTTCAAAATAAAATAAGGAAGTATTCCTCGTCTCACTTGAGTGTTTGTTAGAAGCGCACCCACCAAGATTTATGAGAAAGTTCACTCATATTCAAATTCTAGCAGAAACGAAGCTGTAGGCTTTTTCTGCGTCATTAGGTTCAGACATTTGACAATCAATCAAGATCAATCTTTAGTTTATAATTAAATAAAAATGGCTAGCTTCTTATATGGTATATTAATTAGATAAAATTATATTTTAAAATATTTTACAAATTAAATATAATAAAAAAACTTATACATCAATTTTTACCTGATGTGTGAAAATACTGCACATGGTTTTATCCACTTTGTTTTATATGAAGAAAAGATGTGATAACTTTAGTTTTAGTTAAATGAAAAAGAATTAAAGAGTATTTTTTCTCGGTGACTAAAGATTAAATTTTAATCATATCTCATTACATACGTCATCAACCTTAAAATATTTGCCTTGACTATTTTCAACCAAATTAGATAAACATTAATTAGTAATTAAATAAGAGTTATAATACATAATTCAATTCTTATTAGACTAAATTCCATAATTGGTCTTTTATAATAAGGGAGTTTCCCTATTTAGTCATCTATTGTCAAATATTACCTCAGTGGTCCTTCTTTTATAGGTATCATTCCACAAATAGTCTTTTTTTGATCTTCTATCGTGTTGGAGTTAATTTGAGGGCTAAAAGTGTAATTTCATAATGATAATATATCTTTTTTGTCATACACAATTCCAAAGGTTATTCTGTTTGTGTCGTTTGTGAATTACACTCGTTTTCTACTACAGCCATAGTCTATAAATGTGGCCTTCCGTCGGAATTCTAGCCCACAATCACAGTCATTATATTTGTGTTATCCCTTAATCAATGTCAAAATACATTACTAGACATAATGTTGATGTCAAATTATACTTTTAGGCTTTAAATTAATACCCACATTGCGAAAGATAAAAAAAGGACTATTTGTGGAAAGACACCCTTAAAAAATGACTACGAGAGTAATATTTGTTAATAGATGAATAAATATGGAAACTCCCCTCTTATAAATGTTGGAATTTTTGGCATTTTTTAATAGGCATTAAATGGACCAACTAGGGTATATTTGTCAATAGGTCCACTAACGGTTTTAACCGTTAATTAATGGACGTGTTTTCTCTTAAATGAGATAAATGTTTTGACAAATATTACGCCAAAAATGGTAGAGGGTGAATGAGAAATTGATTCTCAGAGTTAACCCGTTAATAAAAGAATATGGTAAGGATTGTAATTTTTTTTGCAATTTTACTAAGCCAATCTTCTATTATTAATTTTACGTATTGTTTAAAATTAGTCCTTTTTACGGAGTTAACTGACCATTGATCTCCAATTATTCGGGACAAATTTTAAACGGAGCGTAGCGTAACGGACGTGTTAATGGCTAATTAATCACCATTAACACGTCATTATTGTCCCACAAATGCCATGAATTAATGGTGTAGGAGTTACACTTTTTAAAATTCCTCAGTTATAAATATCAAGGGCTCTCCATTTTTTAGTGTGGTGTGTTTTATGTTTGGGTTTCACACGTGAGGAAGGAAAAAAAGAAAGGGAAAACTTTCTTGTTTAATTTTTAGAGAGAACTCTTGATTTTCCGGTCAAATTTCCGGCCATCCCCTTTAAAGTTTTTTGGTCGCCAACGTTCCTACGTTGTTTTTGTTCGTTGGTGTGTGGTTGGTCCGTACATCTCCACACACAATAGCGGTTTTATCCTGGGATGAGAGTGTCCACGTTTTTTCGGTACGGTAGGCGGGCACTACTACCTTAAGGACAGCTCCGGCGACTCCGCTGTCCTTCACGGTGTTTTGTTTTGTTGTCTAGTTCATAATGACCTCGTTGTCTAGTGCATAATGTACTCGTTATCCAGTGTTTAATGTCCTCATACAACGAGGCTTTTTGAGAAGATATGGAAATTTATTTTCTATTCTTTTTATTTTGTAATATTATGAATAAGTTATAAATTCAGAATTTTATTTATTTTTATTTCCGAGGCCGTTCATCTTCCCCGTCCGTTGTAATCCGTACAAAAATTGTAACAATAAAGGACCAATTATGAAATTTACTCTTCTTATTATAACTCTTCTTATAATTCTTGTTTAATTAATAATCAATGTTAATAATAAAATAGTCGTTTGGAAAAAACACTAAAGAATCATTATTATAGTCCACATTGAATAAACAATACTCCGTACAGTTCAGTTTTTGTTTTTTTGAATGCTATTGACTCTATTACGATGTAGTATCTGTTCATACTATTCTCAAGCTAATGACGCATAAAGAGCGAATACTGCTGCCTTCGCTGGGCTCGAACCTGGGTAAACTAATTCATAAGCCTATACTAGCGCAGTGCTCTAAAAAACGCAAAAGAATTCTTTAAAAAACATGTAGTAATAAACTAGAATTTGGATTTATTTTATTTATATTTTCTTTTTTTTTGATCAAAATAAACAATCATTCCATTAAATATCAAACAAAACTAAGAGGGGAATCCTACTCCCGAAATTGAGTCCCGGTTCTTCTTGCTAAAGAATAAGCCTTACTATTACATTTCCGACGAATAAGAGAGTAATAACATCGAAAAACGCCATAAGCGACAAGCAATCATCAACAAAAGCACCGAAGTAAGAACGATAGGAAGCTTCATTTCCCTCTTGCAAAGATTTGACCAAATTCAAACAGTGTGAGAATAGTAGGACCTCCCTAAACCCTTTATTTTTAAGCCAAGATAATACCTCTTTGCAAGCCATGGTTTCTGCCACCGCTGGGTCTTGGGTGCTTTGAATCAGTCTGTTAAAAGCAATTCCAAAGGAACCGTCTGCTAATAATATATAACAACCAAAACCAGCAGTACCTTTTTGAGGAAAGAGTGCGGCATCGAACCAACAACATATACTCCTTGGCGACTGTTGGACTATATCCGATGTTCCTGTATGAGTGTGCTCTTCCGTTTGACCAGCTTGAAACCGATCACACCATGCTTTACACATGTCCATGGCGAGTCTATTCGCAGAACTGGGTTGAGGAGCACTCCGATTCCACACGGCATCATTTCTGACCTTCCAAATGCTCCAGATTGTCCAGCACACGACTTGCAAATCTCCAAGCGAGTCCACCTGGGAGCGTGCCTGAAACCAATAAACAAAATTAACAAAAGAATCACGACCTCCCCCCTTACCCGTCTAGCTCCACACCGCTTCTGTAAACGGGCACCTCGAGATGAGATGATCCACTATCTCCCCATCAATACCACACAGAGGGCACTTATCTACAATCTCCACTCTTCTCAAATTGAGAGCTCCCATGGTGGGAAGAACTCTCCTTAATGCCATCCAAATACATACTTTCACTTTTGGAGCAACAGGAATACGCCAGAATCTGCCCCAATTTGTAAATGTAGCAACATGGGTCGCCTCTCCCACAAGCTTGCGACACCCATCTTTAACTGAATAATTACCTTGCAGATTCCCTCGCCAATACCACCAATCACTTCGCATCAAACAAGTATGGTATTCGGCCTACCACCCCGTGTGGCAGATTTGCCCTGAGCCGCAGCTCATCCCAGACTACTGTGTCTTCTACAAAAAAAATCACACACTAATTCATTTACCCCATGGTGTCCTTGTTTATACTACCTCAAACACTCCCCACCAGTAAGCCACGCGTCTTTGTTTACATTTTCTATTTTTTCTTCTTTAGAATTTTATTTATTTTGTTATTTCAATAATTTGAGAGTTTTTTTCTAATTATAAACTCGTTTGAAATTATCACACCTTACTTTGATTCCTAAATCTCTAAGATTCGTGTTGTTTTAAACTCTCACCTTATGACCTACGGAGCAGTATGTTTTATGGTTAAATTCTGACAAATCTTTAAACTGATAGTCAGTCTCTTTACGACTTTACCCACTCTTTTGGTCCTTTTGAACATTTTTTTTGTCGATTTAAGTTTTTTTGGTTCGATACCATATTTTATATTTAGTCATATTTGTGGGCGAATTATACGGTATTGTATATGTAGATGTAAGATATTTTCTATACATTCAAATGAATATTCGTCATTTAATTGATGTTTTCAAACTAGAAATATTTGCACTAAATAGCACTAAAACTTAAGTCATTTCCCTAAATAGCACTTAAATTATTTTATTTTCTAAATAGTACTTAATAATGTCCAGTGATGGCGAATATTTACTTGAATAATGACTAATGCATAATGACTAAAAGTGCTATATTTGGAAGAAAAACACATGTGATGCTATTTAAGAAAAATTATTATGTTTTAGTGTTATTTAAGTAAATTCTTCTTCAAACAAACCTACTCATTTTTCCCCTCAAATTTTAACATTTTTCCGCATTGAGGCCCAACAAATGCAACCGTCCAGACGGCCCATTTAGCCAAAATTTGGCGGGAAGACCGGGTCTCACCCGGCGGGAAAGAGCAGGTACATATCGGCAGATTAGCGCGGAAGACGCTAAAAGCATTTCTAAGAAACCCTAGTGACAGTGAAAGAGAAGATGGTGGGGAGACCATACGATTGTCTTGCAAATCCGCTAGGGGCCGTCAGATTGACGTTCGACAGGGCCGTGGCTTCTGGTTCTGATCCGGCTACATTCGACGGCACGGATTGGGGGGCCACCGAACTTTTCCGGCAGTTCCTATTTGACGATGGCGGTCTTTCACAGGTTTGTTTCATCGTTTACATATCCCGATGCAGTAAAATCATCTTACATCATCGTATTGTCTTTTGTCTCACCTCACGAGCTAATGAATATCCAAATAAGAAAAATGCTGTTTTGTACGAATTCTCAATGGTAGATGATAAACTAGTATAAATATCGAACGATTTCACTAAGAAATCTTAATTCCCTATCCAACAGTCAAGACTCTTATTTATGTTTATGTTTTTTTTTACAAAATGGATTATTTTGAGTTACCCATAATATCTTATTATGGTCTCTGATCAAGAGTGGTGCGCGCAGTGTTCATACCTTGGAATTTACTTATTTTTCATATCATACCAAATAATGTAGCAGGAATAGGTACCTGTGCTTAATTTTCAAATTGCAATTGTCATTTGGTGGAATAGGTACCTGTGCTTAATCCCAGGACAATCAAAAGTCTCCAGCCCAACACTCTTGTTCGATTCCGGGGAATGATTCAAGACATGCTTGGCAATGAATTTTATGCTGGAGTCTATAAAGTACTCCATTCTTGTTTGTCTTTGAATGCTTTATCTCTCCACACTCTAGTCTGTATAGTGTATAGATAGTAATGATGGATTAGCACTGACAGTGTGATTTCTCTGGTTACTTAAAAAGGATGGGGAAACATGGAGGACCAATAAATTTGCTGATATTTCTCAATACCCAATGGGAGATTCACCCGAGATGAGAGTATGGGAGCGCCGCCTGCTTTACTGTGTTCCTGTGAGTTCTTCTATGTCTTTTCTTCACCAATTCCAATGACAATATTAACACACATAAGTTATTTTACATTGAGGACTCTTATTATTGGCCACTAACTGACCAACTAAACTCATTTCTCATTTTTGTTCAGGTACCGGGGCAGAATAGCTGGACTGAGCCATCAGAAGTTGTATTGGGTCCAATGAAAAATTATGCTTGTACATATTTTCAGAGGGAGAAACGTCAGAGAGAGGATGATGCAATAATGAGCGACGTGAATATGGAAGTAAGTCAAGCTTTAACTTGTTTGTTTTTTGCCATATTACTATTGTTCTGAATAAAATGTTTTGCCCCAAAATTTAATGTAATTGGACATCAGCACTGCTTTATGCTTAAAAAACATATAGGGCGGTGTTTCTGTGATATATTCCCTTGTATCTGCCTGTGATGCCATATTTCTCACTATCAGTAATTTAACAATGGTGTTTTGGTAACAGGCCATAGATGAGTTGCATAGTTCCCCATCTGCCAAAAAGATGGTAAGAAAAAATGCTCTTCTTTGGTGTTAATTTCCAAGATTTGAAAAACAAAGTTTGTGTTTGATTGCTTTACCAGAGAGAGGGTGGAAATACTTCCACATCCACAGATTCTGGAGAGTCCCTAGACAAAGATATCTGCACTACAATGAATACAGCTGTGGATTGTGAAACAGCATGTCCATGCCTAGTGAAGGTGAGTTTTGTTCTTTTGTAGTTTCTTTTGCTACAACTAACTATAAATACTTTTTTATCATCATTATGTGTATGATTATTCAATTATGCAGATATATGACTCACCTGAGTCTGATTTAAAGTTGAATGATGTTTTTGAGTTCATTGGCGTCCTCACTTATGATCCAGATTCTCCTAAGGAAAAGGAAGATAGCATTGTTGAAAGAAGTTTGTGTGAGGATGAATTGTTTGAATTGCCACCTAGGAAGGTATCGTTTGATCATTCATTTCGTTATATATTCATATGCTTCCTTGATAGAGAGATTATTTTAGCTTATGCTGCTGCTGAATATTTATCTCATGTTAATTTAGTTAGAAGAATTTCAAATTATGACTTGCACAGGTTTCCTATTTTCTGATGTATTGAACTTGTTTGCATGCTCGGTGTGTTCCCTTCTTTATGTGTGCTTTGTGTTCTCGTGTTATCTGCCATGAGCCGGTTGTCTCTTGGAAACAATCTCTCTTTTTTCGAGTAGGGGCAAGGTTTGGGTACACACACTCTTCCCATACCATTTTCTCGTTTCATCCAACTGGGTTGTTGTTGAACTTGTGTGCATGTTTAGTGTAACCTTACAATGATTGAATAAATATTCTCTTGACATTCCTTCTGTTCTGCTTGAAAAGTTAATGTGGCTGGTATTGGAAGAAGAGACTATGAAAGTTACATAATCTATATATACTTGAGAAATTGATCATTATAAAAAAGAAAGCCGAAATTGTGCCATTTACTCTTCTAAACTTGAAGTCTTGGACATTTTTTCAGCCGTTTGTAAATTCTTGCAAGACCTATGTTTCAAGGAATTCTATACATTTTGCAGGTTCCTAGACTACATTGCTTTGTTTACCAGAAATTGGGGGTTCAAGATTTTCTTTCAAATTTCCTCACGCCTGAGGTAGTTCTATCACAAATCTCTTATCATTGTTTCTTGGAGTTGTTTGGTTTGATATCATGATATCCAACATTTTAATTTTTCTCTTGAAAACAACATCCTTTTCATTGCCAATATAAAGTATCAACATTTATTTTAATTTTTTTTAATGGCACAGGTAAAATCTCAAATGCTTAGAGGGATAAGAGAAGCTCTGCTGGGGTATCTTACTTCCATCCTTGGAAATGATAGAGTTGCAGCTGAATTCATGCTTCTACATCTTTTGTCTCGGGTAGGATTCACATTCACTATTATATTTTGATAAGAAATTTTCATCTTGTTTCTCACTTTGAGCTTTAGTTGTTGTTTAGCATTCACACTATTCAGCTTATCAGTATAATCACTTTCTTTTAATAACGAAAAAAGTATCAATGGAGGCACTTCATGTTTGTAAGTGGCCTAAGTGGATCAATTTACCCATTTTTCAAACTTTGTTTCTTCATTTATCAATAAAATATATTTTGTTTTTTTCATAGTTCATCAATATCAGCTAGAATTCAGCCAAAATTAAACTCTTTTTATAATGCAGGTTAATGGTAGAGCAGATTCAATGGCAGTAGGAAAGCTTTCGTTGAATCTCACATGTTTTAGCAAGGAAACTACATCCGTGTTTGGTCACAGACTCAACCTTGCCATAGAGAATCTCATGCCATACTCTCAGTCTATACCTCTCACTATCGATTATCTTAACACGGCTCTTCTTGCACCTAGGAAAGATTATCAAACAAATAGGTATTTTTCATTTTAAGATCTGGAAGCCATGTGGCTATTGATAGCTTCATTAAATTGAACCCCAGGAAAGTGTTAGTTTTTGGTGCAATTTTGCAGATTGATTACTGGAGTTCTGCAATTTGCTGATGGAACTCATTTGACCATTGATGAGACACAACTTCAAGCTGGAAACCTTAACTCCACGGGGGTTGAGAATACCCAGCTGCTGAAGAACTTGATCGATATGCAAAAGGTTCACTTTTTTTTTGTCTAATTTTTTTGTTGTATTTCTTACTAGATCCTGCATCACCATTTGTTAAGGGTCTGCATGAACTCGGAAAATGAAAGGAAAAGAAAGTATAGGTCAAAATTGCAAGGAAATTGAATTTGAGAGAAATTTTAAAAATATTTGTTCAAATTCACCAATTTTTCTTTGATATTTGCTCATGCTCAGTTTATTTATCTATTTCTTTTGTATAAAGAAAAAATTAGTTTTCCTTCTTTTGAGTATTCTGTGGTAAAACAAAGCACAGGAGAGTAACATTCCAGAGCACTCCTTTTTCTTTTCCCCGGTGTTTTTTGGGATCCAAACATACCCTCAAAATGAT